TCTCTCTATCTCTATCTCTCTCTGGTGTTTTCTGCCGGTTCAGGAGGACCCAGTTTCAGTTTCTTGTCTCTGTGAGTCACAGCTGCTGAGGATGGACGCTCGGATCTTCACCCTGCATGTCCTGACGCTCTGCTGCCTCATTCACGGTAGGCTTAACACATACACACACACACACCTCAGCCTTGTCATGAATTACTCCAGCTGTTTAGTTTTGTTTCATTGTTGTTTAATTCACTGACTGTAAGCTGCAGATTACACAGAGAGCAAACCATAATTACAGTTTTCTTCATGTGGTAAAGGATAAAAATAAATTAAAAAAACACATAAAACACCAGATTTTGTTGTTTCTGTTTTAATCTAGCTTCATTTCCAAATCTGTTTTGCACACAAATGTCCTTAATGCAAAAAAATCCTTTTTAGAGTGCTATATACTTTATACAGTGGATGAAATGAGCCTGAAAACTTCCTCATGAAGTGTTGTCTTCTAAAACAAAAGTGACCAAATGTCACACAATATAAATGTGAATTCTGAGTGTCTGTAACACTGCGAGCTTTATCTGCTCGGATTCGTGTTCGGTGGTTGACATTATTTGTAAAATGTGGCTCATATCAGATTCCAGTGTGAACAGGTCACGGTCCTGAAGCATGATGAATGTCAGTCTAAAAGCCACATGGATTCTGATGTGACTGTTCACATTAACGCTGCACTGCAAAATCTCAGACCTGTATCTGATTTGGGCCACATATGAAAGGCTACGTCCCCGTCACGCTGTATAATAATAATAATAATAATATAATGCTGTATTATCTGGCGCCTGCCGACAAAGTACCCTGCAAACGGCAAGCCAGCTTACTTCTTACTCGTTACTTCTGGATTATATCAACACCAAATAAGCAAATAAATAGAAGTATTGATGTAGGTGTATTCTATAAGACAACACAACAATGTGACCGTAGAAAAGAAAATGGAAACGGAAATAATGAAACATGCAAAGACTTTTAGCATCCACAGTGTATTTTTAAAGAAACTGTAATCCTGCAAATACATTTTCACAAACTGAAGCTGCTCTCAGGTCTGCAGCGTTTACACAGGAAGGTGATATATGCTGATTGTCAAGTGTTACGGGCCTGAGGTTGTTTCATTCTGTGGACACCTCAAGGCTTCAGATTATTTACTGTATGACTGCCAGAAGAGCTCGTCCGTAGAGGAGAAAGAAGCACACGACACAACTTTGAACGTTTTTGAACTCATTTATGTTTCAGTGAGTGGATATTTTCTTAGAATCAAAGGAAAACTCTGACTTTAATATTTATGCGTTGGAATATTAAAGCTTAAAGTAAGCTGTGTCATCGCTTCTGCTAAGACTCTAACAAACACACGAGTGATCTGCTTCAGCAGCTCCGTCTCTTTACTTACCTCCATTTTAAGGATTAAACTCAACTTTTAAACTTTTATTTCCCCATTGAGGTCGTCTGAGCCTCGTCCAGCTCTGTGAAGCAAAATTAGTTCAGTTAAACAAACGTATATATGGGAAGGCTAATACAAATATTATGTAGACTTCATATCTTATAATGTATGTTTTGGGCGGACAGAATTGAATCCCTGACATATACTGCTTACATACTCAAAATGAATCCTGTCAGAAGTTGAATTTGTCAATAATTTTATTTAAATAAATTGAAAAAAAGAGATTTCCCTGTTTCCTGGTTCTGTAAGTCCTGGTTAAATTCACTCCCAGAGGTTCCTGTCGACCTCTCCTGCCAAACCACCAAATAAAAGCAAAAATATTAACCAAAATAAGCTTTACAAATATATGCCATGAGTTATGCCCTTTTTAAATGTGTCCTCTAGTCATTTACACTTGCATAAAGTTGAAGGAAGTCGGAGGATCAAAGCAGCAGGGACCGAAATATCCTGACTTTAAATCTCCAGCTTGGGTCAAACTCCAAAGCTCCGGTTCCTACAGTTCCCTGCCTGCATAAAGGGCCAATATAAATCATCAAGCAAAGTTACTCTAGAGGAGTCCCAGAATAGAATACGTTCCCTTTAATAGTTTATTTTGTCACACTCTTACCATAAGCAGGCTGCAGCTATAAAGTCAGTTAATAACGGCAGCAGACATCTGAAGCAGAAACAGACACTATAAAGTAATGTGTCTGTTGTGTCCTCGGTATTTCAAACAGTGACCCTGAGCACTGGGTCAGTTCTAACAAAAGGATGAGTTGTTGTTGTGTGTTGTTAGTCTCCCCCCTCCTCCCCCCTGGTTGGTCCCACCCAGCACCCATCAATCAGCTTTCATCTCTTACTGATGTAACCAGCACCCATAAAGCCTTTAAAGCCCCTTTACGCTCTGCGACTTTGGGCTCTGTGAGATGAAAGGTGACAATCGTGAGAGAAATGTTGAGAAATCTTTGAATGTTGATCCGGGACAGAGCTCCTTGATCTAACTGTGAGATGTGTCCATCAGACTACGAACCCAGAAATCAGAATATGACATCAAATGACACATTTGGGTGAAAAAACACAAATTAAAATGTGTTTTTGTTAAATAACCTTTCAAATACAATTATATGTATTTGAACGCTCGTATTTTTTCACTTTTACGTCTGACATTTTGCATTATACTCCGTGTGTTTACTCTGTGTGCTGCTGCTGTGATAAATATCTATTTTCATACATTTCCATAACAGTGCTGCAGATGGATGACACGAGCTGATGTTTCTGCTCTCGTATGCTTTGGTTGCATTCAGTGGCGGACTCAGGCTGTTTGAGGGTCATAGAGCAGGACTACACAATTTGAAAATAGTACTGAAATCACAATATGGCCAAATACAATATGCAAATCACAATAGCTGCAACGTTTTAATGGAGGTAAAACAAACAGCATTTTAATGAAGTGTTGTAGAGCTGCAGAGATGTTTTGGTCTACAAACCTTCTCCAGATTTAAGAAAGCATGTTTGTTTGATACAGACCCCAAAAATACATTTTATTTTTTACATTTCTTTTTCTTTTGTTTTTTTGTGAAAATTTGTGATGAAAAAAGAAAGAGAATTCTGACATTAATCATGAATCATATTGTAGTCGCAATATCTATCAGAAGAATCGCAATATGATGTTTTTACCATATTGTGCAGCCCAATCCTCACTTCGTCACGTTTTCTCCACTGGAAGGGAACCCTAGAAAGATTACTGTGTTTTATCTATCAACCAAGAAGGTATTCCCTGGCATTTTTTCAAACAGACGGATGGGCAATCATCGTACATTCTTTATTCATTCATCTTACACTGTGAAACGACATGCACATCTTCTTGCTTCCTGCACACACACAGGACATGTAATATATTTCCCAAAGTCAACAAAAGCTTCAAGCGTGAACACTGACTGATAATGTGGACTTTTTAACATTTAATGTATTCTGCTTTTTTTAAACTTGATTTTATGCAAATGTTAAAATAAATTCATAGATTTGCTCATTGGACTGTTCATTCCTGTCTGTCACTGTATGGGATCTACAAACTGAGGGCAGAATGTAAGAGAGAGAGAGTCAGTAACAGGATTAAATAACTCAACCTGCTCTTCCACACCACCACTTTACACTGACAGTACAATCCTGAGTTAACACTTTTTATTGTATTATATGTATTCGTGTCCAGGCTCCCTGCAGGGAGTGTACCAGCGGCGTCTCTACAAGGAGCTGATGAGGAACTACAACCCGTTAGAGCGACCAGTCAACAACGACTCCAACAGTCTGACCGTCCACTTCAGCTTCAGCCTGCTGCAGATCATGGACGTGGTAAGAACACACACACACACACACACACACACACACACACACACATGCTATCCACGTAGGGGTTGTAAGTGTTCAATAAATCTTTGATTTGATTAGGCAAATGATCTGCCTCCTGCTGGCAACTGTGTCATCATGCACTCTGGAGCAAATCGGCCAAAAGAAACCAGAAAATGGATTCTGGGGGAGAACCTGAGTCTTGGTGAAGCCGTTAAATATCACATATTTTGTAATATCTGCGTGTAATATCTGCGTGTCCACATAGGTTTCAGGTTATACAAAAGTCACTGCCACTAGATGTCGCACTAGAGCACTATGGCCAACCAGACTTCGTTGACAAAACCAGTAATTTTACCTCGCAGATCATCGTAACTTCATTCAGAGTGAACAGAAAGAAAATAAAACTGAATGAAAGTCACCAAGTCTGGTTTGGTGGCACCATGACTCCGCTGTATCTTTACACACAGAGGAGCTGGTTGCTGCTGTGTTCGTGTTTTAAATCTCACATATAACCTTT